TTTTTTCGCTGTTTCGTAAAAATAATAAAATATATTTTTTTACTTGAGCATTAAATAAAAATATATATAATTTCTTTAAATATACTTACCGATATTCATATAAGATATACGGAAACTTTTGACCTAATATATTAAATATGTCGTCAAAATAATATAAACGAAAAATTTGACGAGGTTTGTTTTAGAAAAATCGCATTGTGTGTTCAGGAGATTTCAGAAGGAAAGAATAAGACAGTTTGCTATATACAACCCGTTTATTATAAGCTTGAATCATATATTAAATAGTACTCATGTTAAATATAACTCAAATTTGTAATATACCTCTACATATCTTATACATATCATCAAACATATGTGTTTACATGCGCGTACATATGAAACGAAAATAATAATGCTGTAGTAGAGCTAGAAAAGGAATTAATAATTACACGGTCGATGTGTATCATTCTCCGTCGCCTTATGGCACGAAGCGTGTTTGAAAATTCTTCAAAGAGAAAGAAAGAAAGAAAACAAAAGAAAAAACATAGCGAGAGACATTCCATGCGAGAGAACGATTATATGGCGTCCGCAACAAACGCTTCGTACGTATTTCCGGTTATAGCTGAATCGCTCAATGTGATTGCAGTTGATTGTTTCAGCATCGCCGATTAAAGCGAATCGCAATCTCTCGGTCCGAAAACGACAATGTCGACGCGGTGTCCGCTTTTCTCATTTTCTCCACATTCTTCGCCGCGCTACTAATATTGATTATATAATCATCAGCCGAGGCGCATTCTTGTTTTCATAAACATCTCTTTATGTATCACTAGGTAATATACTTACATCGCGCGCGCGCGCGCGCGCGCACGTGTGTATATGTCGTATGCATGTGTACGTGTATACGCAGAAAAGGATAAATCCGAAAAAAATTTTTACACTTTCATATTTAATTTAATTTTAACAGGCAGCTTAAATAATGTTTTTCTTTTCGAAAAATAATTCTTTTTAAACTAATGCAAAGATTTCAAACTTCTTCTCGCTCAATCGCGTTTGTCAATGATTGATCGATTTGTCTCAAGTATTTCGTTAAGAAATGCTCTCATGATGTAAATCAGAGAATTTGCTGTCTCAAAATTATCTCGTAGAAAAAGCTCATTATTATGATAATCATGTTTAGTCGTAGTTTCCACCTTGGTCTTGCAGATATATTGCGTAACATTTGTCTCCTGAAAAAAATTGCGTCGATGCTCGAGGCGGAAGTCGTCGGTAGCAGTGCATAATTTGCATATCGCAAATATATGTATAAGAGATAATGTTTTTGAAGAGAATCGTCAAAAGATTATTTTTGCAATCTTAAATATGATAAAGAATTCAAATATTAAAATACATAATAAACATCACAATTATGTGCCAATAAAAATTATCAATAATAATTAATTTTTTTTAGTTTTTTCTTTTAAATCTCGTGCACAAGGTGAAGAATAAACACTATTTTTAATTATTTGAAAAAATTGTTAAATAACCATTGCACTGAATATTTCAATAAGAATCTAAATATGAATGTTTAAAAGAATTACGATGCTACGATGCACAATAGCAAATTTTTCATCTTACATTGCTGAGACTATTTAACAGATATTGGCAAATAATTGCGAATTGCGTCTAGCTTACAAATAACAGATTATGTCGAAAAGAGACTGCCTCTTCTCAAAATTGTATTATCGACACTATTACGCGTTAAATCGTCTCGCTCAAAGCTGCGCTGTGATGTAACAACAGCGTGTCGTAGACTTCTTTTTACGCACTCTATATTCAGTGGACGGATACACGAGCTATAATAATAATTTTGCCTAAAAAATTGGTTCCTCGTGCGTGATTTTCGAAGCGTATGAGACGCGAGTGTAATTTTTTCCTGAAAGGTTTCCCTTCCACTTTTGTTCAATACGTCTTCAGTGACAGAATCGTGTTCGAAGTCGGTACATATGAAAGTAATGCATTTTAACGACGCTTTAAAATCTGTTCCGGTTGAAAATCAAGCACGCTCGTGTGACATAGAGAGTGAATTCGACGTTTTTTTTTTTTTCGACCGAACGTCGATCGTGTGATCGCAGCGTAGCGCATTTCTCTTTTTAATAATAGAGTCAATTTCGAAAGAAAAAAATCATTTATTTGATTCCAGCGCATACATATTTTTTTCAACTTCACTAGGTTTCGCGCTTTTTACAGAAATTCATGGGGCGCAGAATGTAAGCGCAGAGATGTATGGATGTATGCATGCACAGCATAATCCTTCTACTTATAACTTAACACTGTACAATAAATGTACAATAAAAATAGTCTTCCTTATACAAAATCGAAAGAATTTGAGAATATCGAAATATCGAAAACATATTATTAGAAAATAAGAAGAAAAGTTCAAAACACATCTTTAGAGAAGATTTTTAACTATTATCATAGCGATCTGCAATAATAATGCCAATTTTCCACAATAATTGTGCATTTTCGCCGTTTAGAATCTTCCTTCTGAAACAGTCCGTCATTTACTGTTTTACGTCGTGGAAAAAACCACTTGTCCCCAGTGTCACACGTGTATTTTGTATATAAATCAGCTCCGTCCCTAAGTGCTAATTACGGTAATTACGTTATGAACACTTACGAGTAACTTCGTACACTTACGCCAAAACGGAAAGCTCGTATTTCATGTTTCTGTTCATGTGCCTTAATAAAACGCTGGTGAACTTTTAAGAGTAGCCAAAGCGACTGAACTCGACCAACATTGACATCAAATAATTGTTTAATTAATAAATTTTAAATTATAATTTTATTTCATTATTCAAAGATTAATCTGTCGTTACGATAAACTTATACTAATAAAAAAAAAGTTTTTTTAAAAAAATTTCCACTGTAAATAATTTTATAATTCCTTTTCATATCTGAAATTGATAGTCTTTGTTAGTCGTTCAAGTCGATCAGTGTGCGTGCTTATCGCATAGGCGGTAAGTCTCAGTCGAATGGAATCGATTATCGGTATCGACATACGCACACGGGTACTCTAAGCTTAATCATATTTGTCGATAGAATTGACCTCATTTTGCTTGTTGCGGTTACTTACGATGCCCCGATTTTGTATTATTCGCACGCGACGGATGCGCCGAAAATATCTCGCGATGACAAATATCGTGCATCTACAAAAAATCGAGGATCTGTTGAACGTTTCTCTTGGTATCCGCGTTTTCGAATCCACTATACTTCACGTAAACTTCAATGACTACATTCTGTCAGTGTATTTAAGTAAATTTTGAAGCATCACTTTAGGTTCTATCTGTTAATTACATCTTTACACTAATTTTTTGATGAATTCGATGTGTCGCAATATCAGAGCATAGTGGATTTAAACGGGTCGATTTAACTCTTAAACGCGTCTCTCTGCAAAACTACAATAATTTATTCTCCCGCGGATAATTTGTTTTTCGTTAAATAATTTACATCGTCGCGTAATGCTATAGAAAGCAATTAATCTGAGTAGTTCGTCATTGAAAAATGCTATTAAGAGTTAAACCCCTGCCGAACTATCGCGGAAACTATTTCCGTGGCTAAAACACCAACTATAGTTCGCCAATGCACAACGCGCGATTCATCTCTAAAATTGGTAAAAACATCACCGCGCTATCAACTAGAGTCACCTGTAAGCTCGAATTTGCGGCTGCTGAGTCGACAAGAGTCACCCTTCCATTTTAAGCACCTAGCGCATACGCTTCGCAATTTACTCGATCTTGAGAAAAATCCACTAGGAAACACGGGAAGAATCATCTAAGAATATCCATGAGAGATAACCGTGCTATACAGAGTATCATTTCCGCGTGGTTAATTATCACGTTGGGACAATCGGTACGAATATTATTAATATTTAACAAATTCGTTTAAGCTCTCCTCGATCTTACGAGACAGGTTGAACTCGACAAGCTTAACTCGACAAGGCTTTCGCCCTAGTTTCTTCTATAACACTGGTCAGACTCGAGAACGTCGCAAAAAAAATTAGCGACGATCTCTCGACCGTAAGACCGATAGTGTCAGAAAATTCGCAACCTGGATATTTTTATCCAAATGCGCGGGGAGACTCCGAAAAAAAATTCCAGACGCGACCCCGTTACGTGATTCACTACTTAAATAATCGACGGTACATCGATCGGCGAATATCACGAGGCGTACATCGGTTCATTACAAATTTGCATACGAGCTCCAGAGCTCTCAATCGCTCTACGATAGCAAAAATAAACATTTGTACATCCAGATTTAGATACTTTTCGGATGTATCTCGTAGTCGCGATCAGCTGCGCAGTTAATATTCGCGAATACGCAAGCTTGATTCTTTCAGTATCTATATACCATGACATTAATTAAGTTTTGTTAACTATCCAATTTAAAGTTAAACTAATGGTAATTAATAATTCGATAATTTATTATATTATATTTAATTTAGTGCTGAAAGTGTCAGCTGGAAAATTTTACATTCGAGAGGAAAATCTTGAGAGAAGTTCTCGCGGCTCGCGATTTTTATCTCGCGCGATGACGACGAATTCCGACACTCTCGGTCTACTTACTTAGCAGCGACATCGATTAACGATTATTGTTCCGCCGACGGGAGGGATACAAAGTAACATATTTACCTAGGGAGAAGCACCAACGAGTCGTGAACATACAGCTCTTGGCTGAATATATCTTTCTCTCTCTCTCTATCTCTCTCTCTCTATCTCACTTTCTCTCTCTCTCTCTTTCTGTTCTTCCTCTTCGTTTTTCCTAAAGTCGATACAGCAGATTTGAAGTACCGCGACGTGAAAATCGCATCACGGAATTGTCCATTGATCGATGACTAAACTTACACTTTTACATCGCCTACTGGTAGTAGCGGTTTACTTATATTATAGTTGTACCTAATGCTTACCTTAAACGTAACCTAAATATATAATATATTGTACGTATACACTATATATATGTATAACGCGTAACACTAGCGAACGTACAATATTTATTGTATAGAGTATATTCAATATTTTCTATATAATATCATATATATATATATCTATATATATATATAGCGCTGCTAGCGACTGTTTTTTCGTATTCACCTCTGTATTTAATTACATGTACAATAATAATGTATATCTTTCTTTCATATTCATTTATATATATATATATATATATCTGCATATATGTAATATATTTATATTTCTTTGCACAGTGCGCCCATCCCGGAAATGCCCGCGGAATTAATGCTTGTCCCTCTTTCTTTCAAAGCACAGCTTCAAAATTTTAGATCCTCCCAGCAAAACTCTCGATTAATTCGTCCTTCACTAAACTCACTTCGCAACATAAAAGTATAAAATTCTTCCCATTTTCGCTTAAACGTGGCTGCTCGCTTCTAATCGTAAATGAGCTAATGTGCCTTATTCGAGGTAAAATAGGATTTAGAGGCAATCAGTCACATTTAGAGCAGATCTATCGAGATAGATCTCGTATTAAAAAGAAAAAAGAAAAAAAAAAAAAAAAAACAACATTTCGCAAATTCGCGTCTTTGTTTCGAACGCTCGGCGCTTAAGAGCGAGAAATAATGTGCTAATAACGCGTGGCGGATTTAAAAAATGCGCACTGTGCAGCGATAGCGTGCGCCTTAGAGCACTATGAGGTTACAGACAACAGAGATCGTTGTACGCACGGCGTTGCACGTCGGCGAGCCTTCAACCCTTCATCGTTCCTTTTCCGCCTTACCCTCCATCCGCACTTACCGCGCCGTGTCCTTATATAAATATATATATACGTACGCATTATATGTAGTTATTCGATTACATATACCAACTGCGGCCTGCTCGAGGATCGGCTCGCGTTTTGCGAGACGGCCGCGTTAAAAAAAATCTAAGTTTATCATCTTAGACTTTAAAAATTGACTTGAATGCCGTCGATCGCGGATCGAAAGGACTTTGAAGGAATCGCGCGAAGAAGTCGCGCGGAAAAGTTGAAACGATGCCTTCAGCGAAATCAATCTACCGAAGCTCTAAGCGCGTGTGCTTAAATTATTCATTTCGGCGTTTAATGTCTTGGCGATTCGAATCCTCGATTTTGAAGATCGCAGACGCTTCATGAATCGGGATACACGCGAGATTACGGCTCTAGTGACCCTTCGACTTGGATCTTCGAGTAATCTATGATGAGTCGGTGATGCATTTGAATTGCAAGATGTAACTTCCGTTAAAAGCAAACTGCTACAATTGTAATAACGTCGATATGGATTGGCAGAATTTCTTTGAGCAATACGTTACTTTGAGATGTTACTCTTGTTGTAAAATGTAACAATCTCATTATGACATTAATATCTAAAAAGAATTCAAATGCAAATTAATCCTTAAAGTCCGGATTATATTATGAATCCATAAATATTATACATAAAAATATACATATTTTTTCTCCATAATATTACATTAATCAAATAAGTTATTTAAATAAGAATAAACACAACCCACATATCCCGTATTATAAATTAAAAGTAAAGATCTAAAAATTTCTAATACGTGATATTGGATTTCTTGATGTCATTCCGTCCGGAATTTAAGGATTAATCGAAATCATTTTCACGAAAAAATAATAAAAGAGTAAAATTGTAGTCTAAATCAACATTTCAAAACAAAAAGTGTTTTCAAAAATTTTTGTAAATTATCTATACACAAAGAAATAATAATTTGCAACATTTCACCAAAATTTGATCTAGTCGAATGATTCGTTGCGAAAACTTTCGTAAAATCGCAAGAGCTCGTAACCTCGTAGTTGTCGCCAACATCTCTGGCCTATTTTGAGCAGCAGCTCGCTGTGGAAGAAGCTGAAGACGTTTGATGAAGCGATGGTGAAGTCCTCGCCGACGTTGATCGCGCTCGTGGCGTTTTAGTTTCTCGCACCACAGTTGCACTAGCGTAAATTGGCATTTTTGAAGTACGTATTTCGTCGCGATCTGGCATCATTATGTCTATATCTTATCACAAATCGTCGGTTTACCCTCTCGTCCTCGGCATGCCGAACGTCTGCAACAGAAAGCAAATAAACCATCTCGTTAGCAATAAATTTTTCAATTCAATCATTCGCTGTAAGAAAATTACTTCGTAACAATGATAATTATACTTAAAAACATTAGTAGATTTTTATCATTTATTCGTTAAATAAATAAGATATCTAAATGTAGAATCTTTCGCCAAGAAATTTAGTTGTGCTGAGTCAAAGAATATTTTCACTCTACGCGTTTTGAAATGAGCTACAATTTATAATTAGGCATGATACTTTTGCCCCGTTAAGAGAGCACCACTTGAATAAATACAAATTTTCAAATTGCTGTCGAATAAATCGGTAGCCTTGGGATCATAAAACTTTCAAGCTAAAACGATTGCGTCTCACAATAAGCAAATATATAAAACGCCAATGAGAGTAATAATTGTCGGTTGAACTAATAAAACACAATATTTCGATATAAAGTAGATCGATCTTCTTCCAAAAATACACTTCAGTATAGTATTTTAAAATATATTTCATTCATTTTACATTATAATATTTATAGACAAGAAAATATGTTTTAAATTAAAAAAGTATCTTAAATAATAAAGTGAATCAAACATTAACAAAATTAAGGCTAATCTCCAGAGCTCGATAAAAATACACAGTTGATATTTAAAATAATTTATTTTTATGATAATAAAAAATATATAATGATTCAAATATACAGAACGTCCTAACGCTACTACTTTTAATTTTACACACAATTTTTTTTATCAATTTAGGATGTTAAATATATCATCTTAAAGTGCGAAGCATTTTCAGAACAATTAGAATCTATTAGAGATATAATTAGCATTTAATAAGAAAACTCGATAACGGACGCTCGATTAATGGATTCGCGAACGAACTCAATCAGCGAAGGCTGTCTCAACGCGATCTCTCAGAAGGTGGAAACTTCCGAAACTGTTCGTCTGCTAAAGAGTCGCTTCTGCTATTTTCCACGCGCTTGATCCATTGCCCTAAATTGGTCTATGCGACGAACAATCCGACCCCGAAGAAGTCGACCGTGGCATCAACTTTTTCATTCCTGATATTGAAAAGTTTCTCCGGGCTGCGAAAAGCAGAGAGGAAGAGAGAGAGAGAGAAAGATCAAAATCCCTCTCTCCCGACGCAATCTCTCGATATCCGTCGGGATAGTCGACGACGGAAGCGACCGGAAGCGACAGTTCTGCAGATTGGTTAAAGAGCGAAGGGGAAAGGGTAGCGTATCGCGACGGGAAGAGCGAGGAAGAGGCGATCACTCGAAAGGGAAATAAGAAGTTAGGTGGAGATGACGTAACGCCGACGTTATATTAGGTTGTTACAAAAATCGTGTCGACTTCTGGCAGAATAACTCTTCTTACAAAAGCGCGCGAAACTTCGGTAGCACAGTTTTCAGCGAGATTCTGGCAAGAAGTTGCAGATGATGACCAATGAAGCGCGAATACGTGTAGCGGAATAAAATTGGAGTGAACGGTTGAGTAGCGTAAGTCACTTGCAGAAGAGTATGTGTCCACTAATAATCGAGAAACTGTCGTGAAAAACAAGAATGTTAAATGATAACAAAAAGAAATATTAAAAAAGAGACTAGGCTGAGAACATATAATCGACCGGAAAGAAAAATGAAAAAAAAAGGAAAAATGATCGTGAGCGTCATGTAAGACAAAGCTTAAAAGCGCAAGGATGATGTGGGCAAATAATAAATGACAGAAATAAAGGTGAGGAGTGGTGGATTCGTCCCTTTCAAAGAGAACAAGGACGACAGGACTGGATTAAGATAAAGCGCGAATGAAGAAGGATGATGCGGAAGGGTACATACGTTGCGAAAGACGGAGCTGGAAACAACAGAAACGATGATAATAAATATCGAAAGATGGAGAAGTAAGGCAAGAAGAGCAAAGATTTTGCACCAAGAAAGACTGTGCTAAAGAGAGCAAGATGTGGCGAGATAATAAATATCAGAGAAGACAGGAAAACAAGGACAAGGGAACTTCTTTCGAGTCCGAAGGATGCAAAGGAGCGAGGATAGCAGGATCAAGATCGAAGCCGAAGCAAGAATAAGCGAGCGGCGCTAACAAGGTCGACGATGCAGAATCAAGATAAAGACCCAAGAAAGAAGTATACGAGGCGAAGTTAGGGGACAAGGACAACAGCCTGCGGCAATAGATACCAGGACACTCCAATCAAGACACAAAGAGAGAAGGATAAAGTAAAGAAGAAGAAATAAAGGGACGCGGCGAGGGCGAATCAGGTAACGAATATCGAGTAGAAGCCGAAGAAAAAAATATGTGGAAAGAAACAGAACAAAAAAAATTCAGGATAAAAAATTCTTGGAAGAGAAAGTGAGAGTGAGAAGAGGGAGAAAGAGGAGGAGA